GGAGGTGGTAAATAATTCACCATCCACGAGATTAACGAAATAGTGACGACATTTGTGCAGTATGAAATAATATGCGAGCAAAGTTTTATGATCGTAAGTACCATTTGGCATTTGCGAAACTCTATTAAGGAATGAGTGTAATTGATTGATGAGAGAAGAAAAAAAAAATACTTAAAAATATAAATTATTAATAAACCAAAACTTGCATGAATGCCTCGTGAATTTCCCCCAGCACTGTAAAGATATGCTGCTCAAAAACTTCACTGTCGTGACAGTAAAAATTATCCAATAGTTTCTGTTCGTCTTTCGGTGACGCGCTCGGAACTCTCACGTGTCTTTCAACGAACTCCATCAATTTCTCCAATGACTTTTCCCGTAATACGTGATCATGCAACGTTATTCCGGAAATTAGAACGCGCAAAACCATACGACAATTATCACCTGGTGGCTGTAATAAGATATATTAGAAACATAGCATGTAATTTCAATGACAGGGTATTGAACATCAATGAGATTCACCGTTTCATTTCGATTCGCAGTCAGTTCCATCTTCCAATTCCCGTTACTATCAAGACCGTCCACAATCTCCAAATACATCTCTGCCAATTCTCTATTCTCCTCCCATGGATTGCTAGCACTCTGAAATACCATATCCTCATATTTTTGAGATGAGAAGACAGAGAAATTTGATTCAATTTTCGAAATCACTGTTTCTTCGAATCTCAGCATGTTAAATGACGGCATGGTAGATTCTAAAATTAGTTTTTGTTTGTTTTGTTGTTTGTTCAAATAAATATAAAACGACAATAATTAATCGCAACACCAAGGAAAGTTTTTAGGTACTCACCATATGCGGAACGAATTGAGGAAGGATAACTCCCAGACGACTTAAATCCATTACTACTGGACTGTCTTTGCACCATGGTCTGAGCTAGATCTCTGTGATTAAATAAGATCTCTTCGGCCATAGACATCAATCGCGTGACATTTTCCTGCGATCACAAGATTAAAATTAAATCTCGACTGGAAAAACGCGCACTAGTGATGTTTAATACCAACAGAATTGAAACATAATGATCTTCAGGCTTACCCGTTTTATTTTTGCAAAAGAGGCTCCAAACGAATTCCTCATTTCTCTGGTCGTAAACAATAGCATCTGCGTAAGGAACGCTCGAATAACCTCGATAGCATCAGGTCGCCCACTCATCCATATGGATATTATAGTATCCTCGACAATCTTGTAGGCAGTGAGATCTACCTCGAACATGTTCCATGTCACCGTCGCCACCAACTCCAGTGCCCAATCCGCAGTATCCTTACTTCCTTTCTTAACGTGCATTTCGTCTTGGCTACCGTATATTGGGATCAAACGAAAAAGGTACTTCTGCCAGTTCCATATTCGATGTAGTTCGTTACAAAAAGATATGTTCTGCCTAAACATCTTGACCAAATCTTCGAGTACTCGGCATTGCACTGTCGGCTTTGTACCATCGCAGTCCAACAGCGCCAATGTTACAATTATTATATTGAAATTTTTGATCGTGAGATATGCCGAAGATGACTCGGTGTCCTTGTCGGGTGAACCAGGCATGTTAAACTGCTCTAGTGCCCAAGATAATAAGGAATGATAGATCGGTAATGTGAATGGAGTGCCTTCCAATAACTTTATCAAATTTAGCGGATCGGTATTCTCAAATCGAAGTTTATCGACAATTCTTGATGGTGTATGCTGACTATTGATCAAACAAGTAATCAACCTTATACATAGAACCTTAACACTTTCATCCTTACGCTTCAATAGCTCGCACAGAATCTCGAATCCTCCGTAGGACGCAAATATGTCAACCATACTTTTATTTGATCCACTAGTCAACAAGTTGAGAAGTAAATTCAGAATCTCGTATATATGCTCATCGTCTTCGCTAATCAACAAATTCCTGAATATCCCCAGGACCTCATCCTTAAATATTCCGTCCTTGAAGTAATTCACGATTATGCCGAGGAGCATTTCACGTAATTGTTTAACTAATGAAGGTTTCGGCCTAGCGGAGTTAGCGGTGGGATGTCTGTCTGGCGAAGAAAGTTCGTTTTGTTTGTACCAATACACACTCGAAAGGATATCCAGAATATATTGCACTCCAAACAATTCTCTACACATTTGTTTCCTGGAATCAATGAAATTCTTAAGAAACTCTATGCAATACCGTTGAATTCCCATTGACGCATACATCCACAAACGAAACTCAAAAACGAGATTCAAATAAATTTCACGTGCCAAATCCTCGTTTGCTTCTAAACTACTGGCTAATATAATCATGCTTTTAAATGCTGATATGGAAAAATGACTCGGCCCAACCTGCTGCAATAATAGACTGATAATCTTGATACCACGAGATTTGATTATGTGATTCTGACTTTTGGTGTTAGACTGTAACAATGATGACAGGAGGTCAAAAAAAGCTTTGCATGGTCCCACCGAAGCAAAAAAATTGTCCTGAGACCCGAACGGAGCTTGAAGGCTAACAGAATTCAGATCATCAAACCTCATTATAATGGGAAACAGAATTTCCACATCTCCCAAACATTGTATGGCATTCCTCAAACTAAGCGTTGAGCATTTTTCAATGCCAAATAACGTGGCCGAGATCATCTCCCGAGTATTAGTGACTAAATTCCGCGATGCTAGATTAAAACATTTTTGACCCGATGAGGCTTTTACGTGAAAATTAAATACCATCCTAGGACCGAGAGTCCCATCAAATAGATTACAGGCTGATAAAATATCCTTTTTTTGATCAGGTTCAAATTGTGTAGAGTGATTCGGGCCGAGTTCATAAAGCGCAATTATTTGCTCCTTTGTTAAGACATCGTTAATCATATACAAACTTGTCATTTGGCCGCGGAAGCAATTGTGAAGTCCACTAGATGATGTAGAGGCATTCGAATGATCGCTGTCAGGAGATTGTGGCGGACTAATTGACATGCTAGCTCCAACTGAGCAATGACTAAAAGATGGAATGTTCTTGGAATAAAGATCAACGGGATATTCCAGACGCGCTCTGAAGTTTATCTGACCATCCACGACGACATTTAATTCCGAAGGGGTGATCGTCCAACCTCTCTTCTCCGGTTGATGCACCACAACGATAAAGTACCACCTCTTTTGGGTAAACTTGAAATTAGACATGACAGCCCTTGAAACAATTTCACCCCTTTTGCAATGAAAGCATAGCTCATTGTTCTCAAAATAGGCCTCAATTCCATCCCCGGACTCGGCGAAGAATGAAAATAATCTCGGGATGTAGTCTCCGTGTTCGACATGTTCTTTTGGTGATGGGGTTGCGTCCATCTTTATCCAAGTAAAGAATGAATACCCATTCGCCGGAAATTTCTCGATGGGTGATAACTCTATACCAGACTCGATGCCTTTGAAATAAATAAAGTCCATGGTGTTTTGTTTCGGAGCGATGGAGTATAATAACTTTAGCAGAGCACCTTGGTACCAAGCAGATTCTTCTTGATGTGGGGAAACGTCCCCATCATTCTTGTTGCATATCTTATTCAATATCAATTTTACATCCGAGACTTTGACGGAGTAAGAACATATGATCTCCAATAACCTCATTGTCTTTTCAGCTACCTCACTCCTGTTCCACGACTTCCAGATAATGGTGGTCAATAATTTACTAGTTATATTCGTCTTAAACATGATCCACTTATTCATGTCGCTGTACTCCGCGAAACATATCAAGCGATCGATGACTTGTAGCTGTGCAGAATCTTCCATCGATGGTAAATGAAGCGAAAGCATCTCCAACACATGATTATTTTTCATGAAGGTCGCATCTCCATTGACTTGCCACTCTTCACTTGTAGCCAATAAGTTGGTCAGTTCCTGCAGAGTTTGTGACGGTGAGGTGATGTCGTTTGAGGAGTCGATTGCTATAACGGTGTCAAAGGAATCCATGGTATCAAAAGATCGAATACTGCTTAAACTAGAGATAACACTGGAGAAGTTCATGGTGAGGTTATCTCTAATGATTCTACCAAAAAGAAGAAGCAAAAACTCCATCAATAGACGTGGATAGCGTGAATATATTGATATTTGACATGGAAGGTGATGAACTTACTCAAAATCAGTGTCAATATGTGATGAGATCCTTGGTAAATTATTGTGATGGGATTACATAATAATATGGTAAAGGGACGCATCTCAAACGTTAAATCTAATAATTCGCACTTACGTGTAGCCCGTTCGATCGAATTGAGATTAGTAGCGTTTTCGAGATTTCTTGGCCTAAAAACGGATGATTGTAATATAATAAAATTCCGCATCTTTTTCTATTTAAATGCTTTAAGATTCAAAATTAATTTATTATAATGTTTAAAGCAACTCTTCTAACCTGTGATCCGCGATTCATTCAAACTCTACTATATGCGGTGAAACTGAACTTGTCTAGAGTGAACTAAACTTGAATTATTACGTGAAAATATTTTTTATAATAGAATGGAATTGATCCTAAATTAGAAAAGAGAAAGAATAATAAAAAAATTTTTATTTATAAAATAATTTTAGTGAAAAAAAACTTTCGACGAAGGTACATACACATACTTACGCACGTACAAAAAGCTAACCAAAAAAAAACCTTGTGTAATCCAATAATTAATAAGAAGATTTTGAACAAAAAGAATGTGCGTAGTGATAAGACTGTAATGAATGTATATCATAGTAGAAAAAGGTGCTGAGAGGAACCGAATTAATATGTAATCCTTTTCATTATACGTGATATGAAAATCGTGACATCGTCTGGTATTACAGAATAGGAAACATAATATAATGCAGAGAATTGTAATGAAAAGTTGCACCAATAAAAATCCTTGCGCAGTATTTCCCTTCGTGGCATGGATACGTAATCGTGTTT